TCTAAAAAGGAGTAATGATTAAAGAATTCATGTTGCATCCTCTATAAAGCCAGAAACTACAATAATGTATCCAAACTACAAATTACACAGAAACAATGGCACAAAAACAAGATCACCATGTTGATTACCCTCGTGATCTGTTCCACCACTTCTGGGAACGCGTGTACCAAAATGATAACGAACCCTCCTCCGCATCATCCTACACCACCACAATATACAGTAACTTAAAGATAAAACATTATTGAACAACACCGTACGAGATAATGATCAACATTTGTACTTAAATTTTCGTTAAAATTGTCTTACACTTCAATCTAGCATGCCACAAAGACGTCAAATAAATTAAACTTCCTTAAAAATAAATAAATAAATAAAAAATTCCCCTACAATCTTTTCAATACACAAAAAGATTCAATTATTTCGATAACTATAAAAAGATAGCTTACCTAGGGGGGATCAACATTTATTTCCTTTTCTCACCAAAATAAACAAAAGCATATAGACGAAAGAAAAACTCACCTTTAAAACAATATTACACGTAACTCAAAAACTTTTAAATTATTTNATCAACATTTATTTCCTTTTCTCAACAAAATAAACAAAAGCATATAGACGAAAGAAAAACTCACCTTTAAAACAATATTACACGTAACTCAAAAACTTTTACTTTATTTTAATCACACATTCTTTATCAATCGACTATTCCAAAATGCATTCTATTAAAAAAATTGAGCTCAAATAGGCCCTAATTACTTAATACAATGTCACATTACTTTGTTAAAATGAAGAAAGATACATAATGCAAATGTTAAACATATAGTAGTCATATGAGCATGATACATAAAACGATACTCAATAACTACTAATAGCAAACTTTCTTGTCTTTTCTTTTTCTCCTCTACTTTTCGTCAACAACTCCCAAAAAGAAAAGATAAAATAACATTAACAATAACAATAAACCCAAGTTATCAAAATTTGCTTCAATACTTACGCACTAATAGCAACCTGAGTAAGATGCACAATAATTGAAGTTGTACCCTCTTTTTCTGGAAAAAATTCTGTCTAAGACAAAAATTGTTCATTTCTTCTCTCAGTTGTACCCTCTTTTTCTGCTCCTAATAGCAACCTGAATAAGACGCACAAGAAGATATTAATAAAATTACTGTCTGCCATAATCTGTAAACACTCTTTTCACAACGTTTTAAAAAACGTTGCGAAAGATGCTTTTCGCAACGTCTCTGTCTTCCGCAATGTTTAAAAAATATTGTAAAAATGTAGTATTAGCAATATTCACTTAAAAAATGTTGTCAAAACTCAATTTTGTTAAACAATGACAACATTCACGTATTA